GTCTTTACCTGTTACTGCCTGAAAAACCTGCTGAATTTCAGCTCCATTCAGGCAGTAAGAATGAATTAACTGTTGCATATCTGCACAACATTGCTCTGGGTCCTGCTTATATGATGCAACGTCTGCGGTTGCTTTCATCACATCATCTTTTGTCCAGGTTCTATATAATTTTATAGTGAGTGGTACCTTTGGATCATTTGGATCTCGTGCAGGATCAGCCACTTGTATTATGGGAAAGGCGTCTGCAATGTTATCATCAAAATTTGGTATTTCTGGTGGAGATGGGCTTAAAACATGTCCTAATGATGTGCTTCAGTTTTGGTTCAGTTTTTTCTTCGATCTGGTATTTTCAGCTATTGTTTTGGTTTGTCCACGGGTTTTAAATTTGGATACAAAGGTTGGGAGGGAGGGCAGGGCTGAGAATGTGTCATACGTTCTTCTGTGTTTGCATTATCTGAAAGTGGAGTTGCTGTATCAGCACGTTATATCTCCTTTTATCTCAGCATCTTCTAAAAGTGGAGACGTTTTCTCATCACACTCTCGGTTCTTATGTATGTTTGATGCTATTGTTTCATTGTCCTCAGGTCTGACATACATAGTTTTGTTTTTTCTCACGTTTGATTGTGGATTTTTGTTTTGAGGCATTGCTTCTGTTTTTAGTTGTTTTAGTTCTATTCCGTTTTTTCTTGAACAAGTTTGTTTAAGACAACATTTAGTCGCACTCAGCTCAAGCTTCTCTTCTTTTTTTTATTATCTTTTGCCTCTTTTTTTATGGCAAGCACAAGGTCTTTGCAGTCTTCTTGGTTCAATTTTCCCTCAAAACCATACTTTTTTTCCCCCAATTATTTAAATGTTTACAGGACTCTGAATTGTACCTAAACATGTACTTAACATCTCTTTAAACTCCAGAGTATTTGTCTTTTTGTTACATAAGTTTCCATTTTGATTTCTTATTTTATTCAATTTTTTAATTTTTTAATTTTTTATTTTACGCTGCGCAAAAAACCTCAAAAAAAAAATCTTAATAGTTGTTTTTTTTGGTTTTTTGGTTTTTTTGGTTTTTACACCGTTAGGCTTCAGACTGCCCGCAGATTCGATCACAATTCCTTCTCAATCACACACATTCACATTCACTCTTTTTTAGGCCTTTGGCATCTAGGGACTACTGCCCAGGGACTCCAACCCGCTTAGTTCTAGGGATTACTGCCCAGGGACTCCAACCCATTTTTCAACCACGTGCTGGTAATAAAAAGTTGTTTCTCACTCTCGTCGTCGATCGTATTCTGGTATCAGGTGCCGTCAATCAGCAGCCTAGGATCAGGTGTCGGAGTACTGGCCTTCAGGTACAGGTCTTCCGTTCACTTCCATCCACGGTTTTCAGTCGTTCTCCACCCGATCCTTAGGTTCTGCTTAATTTGTTGGCATCCTGCTCGAAGGATCAAGTTATGTTAGGTTTATTCTAACATATGTGACGGCAAAGTAACAACACAAAAGATGTCTGGATCTTTTACTTGCAAGGGGAGAGTGCAGCTTGCTCTGCTGGCAGCTTCCTCATCAACTCCGAGTTGCTGCACCCTCCCTCTGCTCTTTTATTTAGTTTACAAAAGTATCAGATTACGTATCATGTGATCGTGTGTGAGTATATGAATGGGTATGGAGTAAGAAGGTGGGTGTGAATGTGGGTGTGGCTGTGTCTGGTAATTTCTCCATCAGTCTTGAGCACACTAGATTATAATATGAGAAGCAAATAGTTTCTTAAAGCGACAGTACAGCATGAAGCAATGATAATAAATTAAATTCTTCCAACAGTGGTCCACAGGACCAGCCCTCACCAATGAGTCATGTTAGAATGAACGTAATTAGATAGCATGTGATTTGAAAAGCATGGGGAAATGTTGGTGAATTTCCATTCTGTGAGTTTACTACATATGTGTGCATGTTACCCACGTTATCCAAAACATTTCAATGTACTGGGTACTTTTGGTAGCTTGAAGCATCGTAGTTTGGATCCTGTAATTCTGATTGTTATGATGGATTACTTTCCACCCGGAATAAATGTCATATCAGAAACGTTTTTAGAATCAGAAACACTGTTATTTCCAGGTAGGTTTTCATCTAAGAGGAATTTGTTGTGTCATGTAGTGCAGTGAATTAAATGTACATGAACGTATACAAAATAAAATAAATTAAATTATGCCTATGGGTGGACATTTACAGAATAGTAGAGAATATGCAACATTTTTAGAGTGCAGTGGGGGTGTTTGTGTGCAGGTAGGTGGGGGTGTGGGAGTCCGTGAGAGCCTTTTTGTCTGTTGACATGACTAATAGCAGATATGCAGACAAACTTATAACTACATTGATGGCCTAAAGACAACAGTTAAGATCTGCATCATTTTTAAATTTGAAGGTTACTCACTATCAGTCTGTCTGCAAGACAACCTCACCATGTGTTGTGACACATGGAAAAATCCTCCTATTAGCTCTTCAGTTCACATTCCAAAAATGCATTTTTCAGAGATTTAGTGCTTTTCTGTCAAGCATAAAAAACATTTAGATTCACAAAAATGATTATTTTGCATTTAAAATAAGTGATGAAAAAGCTGTAAGACCTGGTGGATAAGCAGAGAGATGAAATCTGGGCCAAAGACCCTGAGCTAACAAGGAAGCGTGAGGATATCAAGGCAGTGAGGATAAAGAATTTCTTCCTGACAGTGTATCAGTTTTGTGATTTGTGATTGGATAAACATATATAGTATACGTATGTTTCCTGAACTGCAGCTCCAGATGCAGCAACACCGTCTGATAATGTTCATCCAGGACCTTTGTTGTAGGACACGAAGGATAAAAGCTCAGGGCAAAGCACTGATCCAGCACGGGGCTCAGGTAGAAGCTGCAGCTCAGGTATAGCAGCAGGAGGTTGGGGCTCTGAAGCTGGAGGTCACCAGGTTGAGAAAGGAGCTGCAGGAGATGGATCTGGAGAAGGTGCTCGTAGACATAGAAGAGTCCTGTCTAACCAGATCAGGGATGTCGCCACCTGCACCATCGCAGATGATGGTATATCAGAAATACCAGGCGTTACACAATGTTTGTCTGCATTGGTCTGACAGTAATATTTATGAGGCTGTCTTGTGTCTCCAGACCTCAGAAACGGGACCATCTCACGTCAAACCAAATTCGGTGTATGTGGAGTGCAGAGAGGACCCTGACTTTTTTGCAAAGAAAAAGCTGACTCCTCTGGTCTTTCAAGTTCAAATAATGAACAAAATACTGAGGAGGAATGTGACAAAGAGGAGGAAACAGCTTCATCACTAGTGCCATTTAACAAAAAACATTCAAATACTTTCTAAAGTACGTGAAAGATATCTAGGCCAGATATTTCAGTAGAAAATTACACTTTAACATTGTGCTGACTGAAATTATAAAACCGCCTGTTTCCTGCATTGTTTGCCAGCTGATGCAGAGGCAGAAAAAGATACTGACTGCCTGGATCAAGAGTCAGAGAGGCCACGCTTCACTTTGCAGGAGCTACAGGACGTCCTGCAGGAGAAGAATAAACTTGGGGCGCAAGTTTTCCTGCTGCAGGAAGAGCTGGCCTATTACAAAAGGTCTGGTTGCAAGTGCAAACTTAGCTATCTGATTAAATGATGATGCAAAAAGTAAGTACTTATTAAATATGTCTCAGTGATGACTCTGAAGATGTTGCTCTACCCGCTGTTCTCTCATTCAACAGACAGACATTACCTTGTATTAGTTAAAGGGAACCATGAAATTCTCTCTTCTTCTCCTTCATCACCTGGATCTTCACTGTCATCATACCAACAGAGGCAACTGGGCTGCTCACAAATGACCCCACATTGCCATATCTTAAATTGTGCTTAAATTGGTTATTTTTAACCCTTATACGTTTGGTCGGTCATATAGTTGTATGATCAACCAAAGGTGCTGAGGCCATAAATGGGTTTGCAGTTATGCAGTTTTTTAGAGTCAAGGTATATCATGAATGTGGTCAGTTGTGCCTTGCTTTTTTTGTTTTTTTTCTTCTTCATGCAGCTCTACAGCAACCTGTAAAATTGATAACATTTCTTAATTGTAAACAAACCCAGGGCAATCTAGTACTATCAAGACCAAGGTGTACCTAATAATTAGGTTAGTGTTGTATTGTTCTGTGTACTACTGTCAGACATTATGATTTTTTACCTCCTTGTTTACTACACACCTGACTGTGTATCATTAAGTGTAGTTACATTGCACTTCCACTACCATGTTTAAAATATTACTATTACACATAAGAAAGGTGAATATCCTGAAAGGAACAACTGAAACAAGAAAAAGACACAATAGACCAAATATCTTCATCAAATTATTCAATAGTGTTTGAAATTCCGCGTTTTGCATTAATAAAGTACGATATTACGTTGTTGAGTATAGTTCCAGAACAATCAGACGAAATAATTTTAACTGCTGAGATGAAAACAGACTCAAATACTGTACCATCACATGCTTTTTCACATGATTTCACCTGCCCACCGGAAGTTGAACAACTGAAATTCAGAGCCCAATCGTGAGTAACAAATGACAAACGACCCGGATAACAAGGTAAAGGGAACGCTCTTGTTCCACAGCTGCTCTTTGTACACACCTATCGCTAGGATACTTTGGCCTCCTTTGCTGCTCATTGGTAGCTGAGTGATGGGGGAAGTGCGGCTGTTCTGGAACTCTGCTACCTTTTTATTCTGCCTGTAAAACTCCAATATTCACTCCAAAATAAGACTCCGTGTGTGTCAGTGGTAGAAAAAGCGAGGGGGAACGGCGTTAACTTTGTTTGAGGAGACT